GAACAATTTCAATGTTGAGTATCCAAGCCGAAACCGAATAGTAGCCGGTGAAGGCGGGAGGTGAAATCATGACTCGCAAGTTATAGCGTCGGGCGTTGGCCAATGGGCCTGAGTCGTGCCTCGCCGTCTCCCTCCCCGCCCCTCTCCGCAATCGTTTTGCGTTCAATGTTCTGGCCCCCGGGGGGGCCCTCGCATTTCAGGGTGAGCGGGCGAGGCCATGGCACAGGCAGCTGGCGCCTGGCCTGGCAGGAGCTCGCCTGCGGCGCCTAGGGCCCGAAGCCGAGGCGCGCTCCCGTGCGGGGGTCAGCGCGCTGCGTTGCAGAGTACGCCGAGCAGGCAAGCTACGCGGCGAGGAGTGAAGTCCGGGTTCTTGGGACGACGGCGCGCGGAGGGGCGTTCGGGAGAGCTTCGTCATGCTGACTAGGATTGCCTCTCTCGCGTGCACGATCGCAGTGTTCGCGCTGATCGTGATAGGGTGGCTCGGCGCTTCGCTGGGCGCGGGTTTCTACGGTGGTTTCGCAGCTGAGGTTGGGTTTGAGCATTCCTTGTATGACCAACATGTGGTCGACGCCGACCGCGAGGGAGCACAGGACTCGGCAGTGGAGGCGAACCATGCCTTAGGCGGGGCGCTTGGAACCAGGTTCGATGGAGAGGATGAGGATTGCGAGGCGCCCCCATCAGACCCCCAGCGGCCTGCAGGAGAGGCTGAGGCGAAGGGCGCCCCCGGGCCGGAGCTCCCTGCTTTCGGCGGTCTGGAAACCAGGCAAGGGGTGACACGGCCAGCGCCACGTCGCCGCCCTCACTCGCGAGCTCCGCGCATCAGGTGATCAACCTCCTCAGCTGCTACCATGACGGGCGTGCTAGCGATGAGGCTAGGCTTGAGGCAGGAGCGGAGGAGCAGACCCTGACGGCGGAGCGAGGCCCGCAGGACCGCCCCCCCGCTTAAATTAGGAGCCGACGGAGAAGTGGACGGGCGCGCGGAAGATGGACCTGATGATGAGCAGGAAGGCCCTGGAAGAGGGGAAGGAATCGCGATCGACCCTCAGGTAGTTTCCGATCACATTTGAGCAGCGGGTGGGACGAGCGCAGCGGCCCCCAGCAGCCTGCCATGCATCCGTCGGACAGCGGAGGCTAGCAGGTGGAGTGGGTCGCTGGACGATGGGGAAAACGACGGAGTCCGGAACTCCACCTCGGCGTCGTGCGACCTGGCACTCGACCAGCATCGGAACGCCGCAGCCAGGAGGAGCGCCTCGTTGGAGCAGGTCGAGGCTGCCAGGAACAGCGAACTCGATGGCCGTGATGGGCCAAGCGCATAATCGGAAAAGATCTCGAGGAGCTGGGGTCCAGGCGGGCGGGCGCCAGGCCGCGCTGCGCGGGCCGTGCCGCGCTCGCCTGCACCCGCGACCCTGCTCGAGCCCAAGGATATCGCGCTCGCGGAGAGGGCCGACTGCAGGGCGCTCACCGATCTGAAGACCAGGGATGATTGGGAAATAGCCAAGCTAGAGAGTTAGTAGTGGACAAGCTGGCAGGCTCCACGATCAAGTCGCACAGCCTGGGGTGGAGGTGGTGGACCCTGGTTTGCCGAGCTCGGGGGTCGAGCCCCATACTTGAGGTAGACCAGCACACGAGGAGGCACGCGGAGGGGCTTCTGCTCGAGTTCGCCATCCACCTGGAGCGGGGAGGGCGCAAGAAGGCGGGAACCATCAGCCAGTACTTCCGCGCGGTGAGAGCGCAGCACCTTGCCATGGGCCTCCCGGAACTGACAGCGGGAACACAAAGGTCGTTGCGGCGGACGGCTTGAGGACACGCCACTGAGAGGGAGAAGTCAGTCACGCCGAGCATGCCGAGGTGGATCAAGCTGAAGCTGGAGCCAGAAAGGTCGCGTGGAAGGGCTGCGCCTGGGGCTGCACTCGCCACGGGGTGCTTCCTTTTGAGAGCGAGCGAGAACGCGGCGAGCGGCCACGACGACTACGCGGGCAAGCGCGGAGCAAATGTCGTCACTCCGAAGAACCATGGCGAGCCTTGCGAGAGTGCGTCAGCGGCAAAGGGGAAGTCATCAAGATCCCGGCGAGCAAGACGGACCAGCACAATCAAGGAGAACGGAGGAACTATTTGAAGTTGGAACAGTCTGGGGAGAGAGGTCAATGCGCACGACGGCGGAGGAAGGAGCGGGAGAAAGAGGGCAGACGGAGGTCTGCGCGCGCGGTCGATGCCCTGACCTTGCACGAGACACGGCCAAAGAGAGGTTCTCGGGATGCAGGAAGCACACCCCCCTCTTCGCGATGTCTGACCAACACCTGGTCACTCGGGCTGGTGCCCAGAGGGTCGCAATGCAGGCCGCTGCAGCAGAGGGGGCTGATCCGAATTATTTGGGATCGCACAGACTCCGCAGAGGAACTCGCTCCACGCTGCTTTCACGGGCACGGCACTGGCGCAGCGCTGGGGCCTTGGGAGGAGCGGCGCCTTCCAGGACTAAAATTATCCCGGCAAAGCAACCTGACAGCGATGTGTAGAAGCATATCTGAAAGCATTCCCTTTAAGATTCCGATGAAAATCCAGTTGTCGAATTCTGCTGTTCTCGCAGTCGTAGTCGCATTCGCGATGACAGTCGCAGCGGCAACGGCAGTCGCAGTCACAGCCTCAGCCTCAGCCTGCCTCAGCCTCAGCCTCAGCCTGCCTCAGCCTCAGCCTGCCTCAGCCTCAGCCTCAGCCTGCTTCAGCCTCAGCCTCAGTCTGCCTTCAGCCTCGGCCTCAGCCTCAGCCTGCCTCAGCCTCAGCCTGCATCAGCCTCAGCCTCAGCCTCAGCCTGCCTCAGCATCAGCCTGCCTCAGCCTCAGCCTCAGCCTGCCTCAGCCTCAGCCTCAGTCTGCTTCAGCCTCAGCCTCAGTCTGCCTTCAGCCTCGGCCTCAGCCTCAGCCTGCCTCAGCCTCAGCCTGCCTCGGCCGCAGCATCAGCCTGCCTCAGCATTCAAAATGTGGCCCAGGAATGGAGTTCTGGGAACTAGAAGAACACGAAGTGGCCTACAGTTGGCTCCGGGCATTCAAAATCATGCCCAGGAATGGAGTTCTGGGAACTTGAAGAGCACGAAGTGGCCTACAGTTGGCTCCGGGCATCCAAAATGTGGCCCGGGAATGGAGTTCTGGGAAATCGAAGAGCACGAAGTGGCCTACAGTTGGCTCCGGGCATCCAAAATGTGGCCCGGGAATGGAGTTCTGGGAAGTCGAAGAGCACGAAGTGGCCTACAGTTGGCTCCGGGCATCCAAAATGTGGCCCGGGAATGGAGTTCTGGGAGCACCAAGAGCGATTTTGCGAGGATGTCCCAAGCGATTTCGGCTTCGGCGGCAGCTTCGGCGGCAGCCTGTCCGGGTCCCGCCCAGACCCCCCTGAGGAGTCATGATGCTCTCTTTTGAGACCACTAGAAACCTATCAGCAAGAGCTGTTAGGTAATGATGCAAGCGAGGGATGCGGCACATGGGGCGGCCAGAATGATGGCGGAGATGGACCTCGCCATTTTGCGAGGGGGATGAGGGAGGAAGAGCGCCTGGGGCGCGCACGCGGAAGGCTGCGGGGTTGGAGACGAGGTGCTGCGGCAGCGGCGAGGCAGTGGGGCACCCGTCCCTAGTGGATGGGAAGACGAGCCGGGGCGGCGGCCTTGACGGGATTCAGAGGGGTGCCCGTCCCCCATCGCACTGTAGAGATGAGGTTTTCAAAGGCGAAGAGGAGGTGCCACGGTGGCCTTGACGGGATGCACGGGAATGCCCGTTCCCCGCGGAAGGAAGGATTGCAATGGCTGCTGCCTTGACGGAATGCAGCGGAGTGCCCGTCGCCCACGTGGAGATGAGGAGGAGCCGCGGCGGCGGCATCGACGGAACGCATCAGAGCGCCCGTCCCCCACCAGCGGCAGGAGCGCTGCGGAAGTGCCGCCAGCGCGGCGCCGCGGAGGGAGCAGGCGAGGGCCGTGGCTCCCGGCGCCGCGGTGGGAAGGTATCGCATGAGGCGCCGAGGAGGGTTGCTGGCGAGGCGGGGCGCGACGTACCGCGGCCCGACCGCATTTGGAACCCCGCCGGGGCGCGAGGGCGCACGAGCTCCCGCGAATGCTTCCAGAGCACGGAGGGGAAAGCACGCCGCCGCGGCAGGGTGCTGCCACGAGGAGCTCTGCGCCAACTACTTGCGTTCGAGGCGTTGGATGCTGAGGAAAAGCAACCATTTGTCCCCCCTCTTCTCCTCGATGTGGGTGGGAGCGGCCTGCGCGAGCACGAGCGCTCCGCCCGCACCCTTCACTGCGATTGGGAGCCCGGGCGAGATTCAATCGTTAGTTGTGACATCGGGTTTTGGCCTGTGGGCCTGGGCCGTGCCTCGCCGTCTCCCTCCCCGCCCTTTTCCGCAACCGTTTTGCGCTCAAGCCTTTCGGCCCCTAGGGGGCCATCGCCTTTCAGGACCCCCCCAAGTTTGATACCCCCTCTTGTTGTCCTGGCCAATACCCAGGACCTGGCGAAGGGGAGAAGCACGCCGCCGCTGCAGGACACTGCGGCGAGGAGCTCTGCCCCAAGCACTGGCGCTCGAAGCGTTGGACGTTCAGAAGAAGCGAGCCGTTTGTTTCCCCCCCTCCTCTCCTCGATGTGGGTGGGGACGGCTTGCGCGAGTACGAGCGTTCCGCCCGCCTTCCTGACTGCGATTAACCCTAGGGCCACAATTTTGACGATGACGAGGAGGAGGAGGAGGAGGAGGAACAGTAGGACGACTTGGAGGAGGGCTGGCCACGAGAGGAGGGATGAGGACGAGAAGGTGTAGGGAGGAGGAGGAGGAGGACGAGAAGAGGAGGACGAGGAGGCCTTGGAGGAGGGCTAGCCACGAGGAGGAGGGATGAAGAGTTGAAGGTGTAGGAGGGAGGAGGAGGAGGAGGAGGAGGAGGAGGAGGAGAAGGAGGAGGAGAGCGAGGGGTGAGGAGGGAGGGGGATGGAGGAGAAGGAGGAGGAGGCCCGTAGACTTCCTCCACCGAGGCTACGGGCAGAAGTGCCGGGACCTCCCCTTCCTCTTGTGAGCACGCGCCGGGGCCGCGGGACAAGGAGAGCGCGACAAGGAAGAGGACGGGGAGGAGAAGGAAAGTCGACTTCGCGTAAGAGTGACCCTTCGCCGGCGTGCCCCTTGGAGCGGGCCCACTGGGATTCCCCCGGGCACGGGTTTGCGCGCTTGGCTCTGTCCCCCCGCCCGGGCCCCCGAAAGCCACGCACCAGAGGTCACTCTCGCCGAGGGTCAATCTTTCGTGTAGCCGAGAAAGGCAGGAGCAGGAGGAAAGCTCACCAGCACTGGTATCTGAATTCTTGTTGGACATGTTTGTGTCCCCGTGGCGGGTTGCACGATTGAGGCTGTCATTCGTCGAAAAGCCACAGGTAATTCCCCAAACAGTGTTTGCACTCTGGGGTGTTTACTTGTTTCCTTCAGGAATTGGTTGGGTACGGCGAGGGGTCGCCACGTTGCCGACCATTGCAGCCGCGTTGCCGCATCGAGCATTAGGTGTGTTGTGTCCGTCGAAGTTTCGCCACGCTGTCGCCCGGTGCCGTTTCTCTGCCTCCTCTAGTTGGCACCATGTATACTGCAACGCATAGCTTAGACCACATAGCTTGCACCACATAGTTTACACGTCCGCCGTGCAATATTTCAGTGCTTTGGACACACGCTGGCTATAGGATGAAACTCCCGCCGTGACACAAAAGGGGCCATTCTCCAGTCCGTACCATGGAGGGGGTCCCATCTGTGACAGAAGGGGGGGGCTACTCGTCGCATTGCTCCTGTTCCTGCTTGTCCTTCTCCTCCTCCTCCTCCTTCTCCTCCTCCTCCTCCTGCTCGTCCCGCTTCTCCTGCTCCCGATCTTCCGTCCTCCACCTCGCCCTCCTCATCCTCATCCTCATCCTCATCCTCCTTCCCCTCCTTGACAGCAAGGGCTTTCCCCCCACACCCCTTCGTGACAAAGAGAGGGTGGGTCACCGCCCCCCCTTTCATTGACAGAGAGGCTGGCCTAAAAACCAAAGGTCACCTTCTTTGTTTTTGCATCAGAGACCTCACTGCGGAGCGCAAAGCTGGAAAAGAAGCTTCGGGGCTCTCGGGTCCGCTCTGGGCCGTCATCGGGACAGCCGCGGGGCAACAGGTCGGCGGGCGGAGGACGAGCATCTTTTACGCATGACTTGTGCGTTTGTGTGCCGACGCGCACGCGCATGCCACGCGCACAGCGGACCGCGAAGAATCGCTTCGCTCTGCGGGCGCAACGCAGTGCTGGAATTTGCACGCCGTCCTTTGACGCCAGCGCAAAACAAGATCATCCTCGCCGATGTCGCCGTGCCCCTGCCGATGTCGCTTCCATTATGCTTACATGTTGCGTTGTCACCAGAGCACACGCTATGGCAACGTTGTTGAGTGGCGTCTGCGACATGGGACACGCTTGTGCCACTTGCGGGTGCAGCAGTGGCGAATCTTGCAGTTGGTATCGTGCTGCACCCGACGCATAGGCGACTGGGCAGCGGCAGCGGCGGGGGGCCCGGTCACCCTGACGCGTGGTGAGCTCCTGGGCCGGCCCACGCGCCTGCTCACAGGCACGGCGGCATTACCGCGCGACGCTGGCAGCTGGTAAAGCGGCGAAATGAGAGGAGGAGCAGCAGGACGAGCACCTTCTTCACTCGCGCCCTTCCCCCCCACCGAGTTCCAACGTCGTGAAAGAATACATCCGCAGAAGGCATCCACACTCACCACCGTGCTTGGCCAGAGGCCATTCTGGGCCCCAGGATGTTGTATAGACCTTCATGGCCTCCATCATGCTAGGGCCTAGGATGGCCCTGGCTAGGCACGGTGGTGGTGTAAAATAGAGTCCTTCTGCGCACCACAGTGTCGAAGAGAAACGACGAATGGAGAGCTGTCCATCCCATTTTTCTTCGGGATTCCTCCAGCCGTGTCGATCCGTGACGGCGCCGGGGCCCGAGGGATAGAACCGAACGCTGTGCTTCTTCCGCGACGTCCCGATGTCGGGGCTCTTTCCTTCGGACGCCGGTGACCCACACGTGTCGCCGCAGATGAGACAGGCAAAGAAACGTGTCGCCGCGGACGGACGCCGCTCGGAATCACCGGGGGAGGCGGTGGTCGGGGGAGGTCTGGCGGAGGTGTTGAGGGACGGAGCCAGGGCCAGCCGCCGAGGCGCCAAGGCGGAGAATAGGCTGCACGTAGGAGCGGCCCCTAGCCAGAGACCTTCTGGTGCGCGGCTCGTGCTGGGGGCGCAGGAGGGGGGGTGGGTCCAGGCCCAAGCACGCAGGCCGCTGGTGTCAGTGTCGCACGGCGTGCAACGGCCAGCAAGCCGCGCCAAAGGTCGCTCCTTTCTACGGGTCATTCTCGGATGTGGCCGAGTGACAAGGAGAAAAGCGGTCGCCAGCCCGATCCCGACTCCCACCCCTAGCTCTGGGATCTTCGAAGTATGTTGGTCCATCCTGGTCAGCCGCGCGGAGATGGATCGAGACGTGCTTTCAAAATTCCATACCATAGCATATCTTAGATAGAGTGAGAGTCGAGTTGTGGGCAGCTAAGGGAAGACGAGTTTTTACGAGGCACCATTGCCATACTAAGCTCAGGACAGAATCGAGGATTAGCAGACACGTTTATACCAAGCAGTAGGCTTGAAATGTGTTGAATAAAATGCACAACTCGCGCATCCGACGTGAGAAATCGACGAGGCAAACTGGTGACAAACTCCGCGAACAAGCCAGGAAAAATAAAACGGACCCAAAATTGCGACTGCGGTTTGGTCCTGGCCTCCTCCGTCCCTCCCCATTCATTGACTCCAGCACGGGGATCGGGAGCGAAAGAAGGACGTACACGTACATGAATCCACGCTGGCTTCGAGAGTTCGCATGGCGCGAGTGTTCGTATCACGCGGCCGGTCTCGCGGGTCAAGGGGCCGTGTTCATGTAAATAGCTGGGTGCGTACGTCCTTTGTGGGCCCCCTAGGGGAGGGAGACGCTTCCTGACCCGCATGATGGCAGTGTATTGTGCCTTGGTCACTCAAATTATGACCAAACACGACCGATTCGCACTCCAACAGCGTCTTCTCAGCGCCATCGGCGTAAAGCCCACAGGAACCGCAGAAAATAGATGCGTTTTCTGCCGCAGTTGGTGCGAATTGTGCAGGACGTGATCTTTCTTTCCATCCGAGGCGGCCGAACCTGGAGTTAGGATCCGCCCACTGCATCGAGCAAAAAGTTGACCGTTGAAGGGTTGGAGCGACTCGAACCCTCGAGGCAAGCGAACACATGTTTTCTGAACAGGTCCGCCAGCCCCAGGGTGGGGGTCAGGCGCAGGCAACTTCATCGCAGCACACCTGGAGCCGAGCCTGGGGATGATCTCAATTTGGCCACGAATGACCAGCTTGCCACTCAACCTACAGCTCCTTCCCCGTGGAAATTTCTTCCAGCAGTGGGTGGAGGCTTCAACTGCTCGCTGGACCGCCGCGGCCCGCTCGGAGGCCCTCGAAACAGGGTCGCAGTTGATAGTTCGACCAGGGTGCGTTGGAACCGAAACAACCGCAAGACAGCGTGAGGCATGTCTGACGAGAATACGTTCGGCTTGCTCCAACATCTTCAGTGTCCAGAGTCAGGATGCATCGACGATGTTTCGACACACCCTCCCGTCCCTGGTTCCCTCCTCAAAGGTCCTTCCAAACATTCCTTTTCACTGCAAGAAGCGCCCCCTTGGAAGACGAGCACCCGGTGGGCCTGCCATTCAGGCCGAGAGCCCCGCTTTGAAAAGGAAATTGCCTTGTTTGTTCTAGCGGTGTACAAGGTCTAATGCAGAATGCGTAATCAAGGATGTGTCCTTCAAGAGCCCTGTGTTTAAAAGGAGCCGCCCCCACCCGTACAGTTGTTGCACAAGTTACAGATTTGGCCACCGAGTTTGTGGACACAGGTTCAAGCTTCTAGTGCCTACATTTGAGGTGGTAGTGGCGCTTGAGATGGCGCTTGAGACGAATGCGCGCAGCGCTTACCAGGAGCCCCATTTTGAAAAAGAGCCGACTTTCATCTTACAAGCGGTTGACACGAATGTGCGCTGCGCGTAAGCGAAAGCTCCATTTTGAAAGCTTACCGCCCCCCATCCGTGCAACTGTTGGACGTGTTAAGTTTCAAGGGCGTAAACGGCCAGGAAGTCTCATGCGAAACGCCTGGCCCGCCCTGACGACACGTCTGGTAGTGAGAATTACTCCGACGGAAGGACCCCACATGAGAATATGTTTAGCTTGCCCTTAACCCTTTCCTCCTCGTCCTGGCAGACACCCTCCTCTCGCCCTCTGCCGTGCCCTCTCCTCCTCCTCCCCCTCCTCCGTAGCGATTCTGGCTCAAACCACATGCTAGGCCAGGGCCCCCGACGCGCCCTGCCATCCGCATGAAATGGTGTGCGCCGCCGCCGCAGCGTGGTGCCTGCTAGCCAGTTTTCTCAGCCACGCGGTGCACTGCCGCTCCTACGTGAAGTTGGGACTCCGCCGTGACCGAGCTCGCCAGCGTGGATATCTTCGTGCTCTACCCTCGGTATGCGCCACGTGGTCGTCCCCGAACACCTGACGACGCACGCCAAGGACATCGTGAATGGCATCTCGGCTCACTCCGTGGTGCAAACGGTCTCCGGGGTGCGCTCCCACAGCCTGCGCACGGCGATCGACCAGGCCGCCCCCCTCTTCGACACCAACTCGCTGACGCAGCTGAGGGCCATCAACACGCGGGCTGGCCGCGCCAAACATCGCGTTCCGGTCTTTCCTCCTGCTCCCGGTGCGGACCCACACCCACAGGCTGCGGACAAACGAGTGCTTCAACTCGACGTGCTACTACCTCGCCATCTGCCGCAGCCTGAAGGGGGTCTCACACACGCCTTGGCCTACGGGATGTTGGCGCTGTCGCACGCGATGCAGATCCTCATGCAGTACATGCGCGTACCGACCCTCGTACCGCTGGGCCTTTGTGATGGTGGTGGTGATTTTCGACAAGTTGCCAACTTCATTGCCAATCTCAACGAGCA